ACACACACACAGACACACACAGACACAGACACAGACACACACACACACACACACGTTCTCGAGATCCGCCCGCCCAATCCGGGCAGCTGCCGGGATCTCTAGAGCCGGGCAGCACACAAAGCCCCGCCCGCACACACACACAACCCCGCGGGCACACACACAGCCCCTCGCACGCACAACACAGACCCGCGCGCACACCAGCCGGCGCGCACGCCCACACAATAGAACCGCGCGCACCCCGCGGCGGCCCCTCGGCTGTGTCCCGGCCAGCCCGGCGCCGGGGTCCGCCCTCCGTGCACACCCACGCCCGGAGACGCGGCCCAGGCGCGGGGAGGAGGCGCTATCGCCGCCCGGCTGCGGTCCCCGCGCCCCACGGGAAGTTCGCCGCACGGCCCCCAACTCACCTGCGGCGCTGCTCAGCAGCAGGCACAGCGGTCCAAGCAACCACATGGCGCGGCTGCCGCTCCCGCTGCCCGGCGCCGTCGCTGCCCCCGCGGCCTCTGCGCTGACCCCGCCCCTCGCCGCGGCTGCCCCGCCCACCCGGCTGTCCCTCCTCCCGCCCGCCCGACCCGCCCTGGCCGGGCTCTGTCTCTGCGAAGTTTTGCAAGCGCTTGGGCTGGGTGCAGTAGCCCGTGTTATGCCCAGGACAACTCGGCTCGAGAGGCCGCTTAGGGGTGCGCAGAGCTCCGCTGCCTGTCCCCGGAGGGTCTTGCCCTCTTTGGCGGCCCTTTCGGTCTCCCCCTCTGATTGCGAGGATCTCAGAACAGCCTGCTGTTTTTTCTCTCCCTCCTCCCCTTTCCTCCTACCTTTTCCACTTTGTTCCTACATCCTCCGAGGATGCGGCGCTCACCACTCCTCCGACCCAAACTTGAGTTTTGTACTGAACTACAAAATGAGTTTGCTCCAGAGTGAGAAAGAAAAAGTTGGGAGAAAGGGCCAAATATTTTGAAAAAATATGTATTTAGTTTTAGTCACGAGCATGGAATATGACTAGTACTTCTCAAATTTTAATATGCATCTTACTCACCTGGGGATCTTGTTAAAATGCAGACTGATGCAGTAGGTCTGGGGTGGGGCCTGAGTGTCTATTTTTAACAAGCTCCCAGGTGATTCTGTTGATAACTAAACCTCGAGTAGAGAAGCTAACACCTTCCATGTAGACAGCGCTGGCCACGTGGGCGATTTCATCCTGATCTTGTCTACCTAGACCAGTGAAACCAACATGTGGACCCCGGTATGCAGAAGAGGAAAGTAAATACAAAGGCAGATATTCAAATGCAAAAAGAACAGCTGCCCTGATGCAGTTGAGACGTCAAGACACCACTGGTGAAAACTGCGAAAGATTTAGATGGTAGAAGAATGGAGTGACACTTTTGTGCTTCATCACCCCCACCCCGCCACACACACACACACACACACACACACACACACACACACACACACACACGTACACACAGAAAAGCAAAAAACTAATGCAATAAATTCCCAAAAACTGAAAACAACTCAAATGTCCACCAACTGGTGAATGGAGAAACAAATTGTAGTATATCATTTAATGCAACAGCATAGATGAATCTCAAAAGCACGCTAAAAGAATCCAGATCCAAAAGCATACGTTCTATATGATTCCATTTATAAGACATTCTGGAAAAAGCAAAGCTATAGGGATCAAAATCAGATTGATGGTTTCCAGGGTCTGGGGGTGAGAATAAGGGACAGGGAACTTTTTAGGGTGGTAGGACTGTTCCATATCCTCATTATAGTGGCGTTGACATGACTGTATTTGTTTTTGTTATTGTTGTTGTATGCCATCAAGTCAATTCTGACACATAGCAACCCTATAGGACAGAATAGAACTGCCCCACAGGGTTATCTAGGTTGTAATCTTTCCTCCTACAGAGGGGCTGGTGATTTGGAACCGCCCACCTTTCAGTTAGCAGCCGAGTGCTTAACATTGAGCCACCAGGGCTCCTTACAGGACTGTATAATACATTCGTTTAAGTTTATAGATAGAACTGTATCCCTATAAAGGGTGATTGTTACTGTATGTAAATTGTACCTGTTGGGAGGAGTGAGGTGGGTGTGGCTGCCAGAGCTGGCTGACCATTTGTGAGGGAGGTTGTAGACAGGAGACCTGCGTCAGACTTGGGTTGCACTAGAGACAGCATTTAGAATGCTTAGATTCAATGACTTTCGTTTTTAATTGCCTGCCCTAGTCTGGAAACATGAAGGCTAAATAAAGTGGATCAGGTCAGAATTTAAAAATACCAATGATGGTTCAAGGTAATAAGAAAATGTGATGCAGGAAAGTTTGGTAAATATAAATAAAATTTCCAAAAGATTTAGCATTCAGAGGCACAGCAGTCCAGGGACAAGGACTAGAAGGCAGAGGGGGACAGGAAAGCTGGTGATAGGGAAGCCAAGGTTGAGTAAGGACAGTGTTGACGTGCAGTGGGGTTGTTAACCATTGTCATAGGGCAACATGTATACTAACTGTTTAATGAGAAACTATTTTGCTCTGTAAACCTTCATCTAAAGTGAGAATAGCAGCACAACTGGAAGAATGTAATCAATGTCACTGAACTGTGCATGTAGAAATTTTTGAAATGGTCTATCTTTGGCTGTGTATATTTTCACCAAAAAAAAAAAAAGGTCGAGGAGGGAGCGGGTTGACATGTCATGGGGTTGTTAACCAATGTCATAAAACAACATGTGCACTGACTGTTTAATGAGAAACTATTTGTTCTGTAAACCTTCATCTGAAGTACAATTTAAAAAAAAAAAGATTTAGCATTCGGGGGTTTTATCCTGGGTTTCATGAGCACTGCTGAGATCTTCCATGGGCTTTAAAGCCCCTAAAATTTTTTGCAAATTTGCAGGTACATGTGGCTAGGTGTATTTTTCCAGTAAGCACGTTGCGGGGAGGCCCCCTGACTCTAATAATGATATCCAAGAAGGCAATTAATTTCTCTTACAGCTGCTTATTTGTCTCCAAACATAAGGAAAATGGAAGACCAAACAGCCTTAGTGTCCTTTGGCTGCATGAACTTCAACTCTGGGAATGATTTAGTGTGCCTGGTTCACTCCCTGTGTCTGTCTGTCTGTTTCTCTCTCTCTTTCTCCCACACACACACACAAACACACACACCTTTTGGGCCTGTTGACTTCACAAAATTGTGATAAGGATTAAATATATTAACGTCTTTGAAAGCATTTGGAAAAATGTAAAGACCTCTTTAAATTCAATTATTTTTATACTTACATTGAATCATTTTCAACCTCCTTACCATATAAACTGGGCAGGAAGCGAAAACATTCTTTATACCTGCCCCCCTTTATCACTTCCTCTTTCCCAGATGTTTAGAATGAATCCATCAAAAGCACAGGACACTCAGTTTTCCCAGAAATGTGATAAGTTCCAATGCTAATTGTTCAGGTCTCAAGATGCCAGTTACAGTCTTTTTAAGGTTGGTTTAATACAAATCAAAAGCAGAGTGCTTTATTTATGTCTCTTATTTACCAAAAGGCAAACACTCTGACCTTGGATGTATACACTGACACAGTTTCATGTTGCTCAGAGAGGCAAGAAAGAACTTCATCTTTCTAAAGTCTTCAGTATAATGCTTTGTAGTCCCATATGTTTTCTCATTTATTCCTGCAGCAGCCCTAATAACAATGCACAGCAAAACAGCATAAGCTGGACTTGAACTCAAGTCTGAGATGTGCCCCAATGCTCATTTCACTTGCCACGTACTAGTTCTGTGACATTGGGTAAGTTTATCAGAAGCCTTTGTTTCCTCATCTGTAAAATGAGAATAATAAGAGCATCTGGATCTCAGGGTTGCTGTTAGGATTAAATAAGATAATGCATGTAAAGTCTTTGGCACAGTACCCTGCTCATAGTAATTGTTCAGGTATAGTCAGCTGTTGTGATTGTGGTTCATATTACAAGGCAGCTGCTGTGGTAGCCAACCTCTAAGATGGCTCTCAAAGATCCTCACCTCCTGGTCTTCATGCCCTTGTGTACTCCCCTCCAACACTGAAGAAAGCTGACCTGTGGAGCAATGGGGACACGAGTGGTTCAGTGGTACAATTCTCTCCTTCCATGCAGGAGACCCAGGTTCAATTCCCAGCCAATGCACCTCATGCACAGCTACCACCCATCTGTCAGTGGAGGCTTGTGTGTTGCTATGCTGCTGAACAGCTTTCAGTGGAGCTTCCAGACAAAGGACATGGATATGTCATCAGGAAGGATCAATCACTAGAGGAGGACATCATGTTTGGTGAAATAGAGGGCCAGCAAGGGTGAGGGAGACAGACCTTCAGTGAGACTGGCCCAACAGCCATAATGATGGACTCAAACCAGGCTTCAAACCAGTTCATTCTGGTTTGACACCCTGCAGAGAATTTGCATTTCTACCTCAGATATACTGAATCAGAATCTACATTTCGACAAGAACCCTAGATAATTTTTATGGATACATAAGTTCTGTAAGAATCACCAGGGGATCTTGTTAAAATATAGATTCTGATTCAGTATATCTGGGGTGGAAATTCGAATTCTCACTGGTTCGAAGCCCTGACTCAAACATGCTGGTGATTTTGAGGATGACACAAGACCCAGGCAATGTTTTGCTCTGTTCTATATAAGGTCACCATAAATTGGAGTTGACTTGGCAGCAGTTATATATCTATCTCTATCATATGGCGATGTAAAGCATGTAGCAAGGTTTCTGACACAGAACTCTTTATTTGTTCAGCGCTTAATTGTATCACAGACTTAAGACCTGTGAATGAGGAGTAATACCAGGAAACATGGAGGTTGAAGCTGCAGAAGAGCCTGCTGTAGGCAGCTTCTGAGATGATCCCCAGTGATCTTAACCTCTTCATATTCACACCCTTGTGTAGTCCCCTCCCCATGAGTGTGGGCTGGACTTAGTGACTTGATTCTAACAGAATATGGCAAAAGTAATGGGATATCACTTCTAAGATTAAGTTACAAAAAGACTGTGGCTTCCATATTTGGACTGTTTCTCTCAAACTCTCTCACTTGTAAGCTGCCATGTGGTGATAGCCCTATAAAGAGGCACAAGGAACTGAGAAAAGCCTCCAGTCAACAGCCAGTGAGGAACTAAGGCCCTCAGCCCAACAACCCACAAAGAACTGAATCCTGCCAACAACCACATGAGTGAGCTTGGAAGCAGATCCTTCCCCAGTCAAGCCTTTGGAGGAGACCACAGACCTGGCTGACAGCATGACTGCAACTTCATGAGCGACCTTAATCTAGACACACCCAGTTAAGCTGTGCCCAATTCCTGACCCAGAAAAACTGTGAGATTATAAATGTTTGTTGTTTTAAGCCACTAAATTTTGAGATAATTTGTTACACAGCAATAGAGACAAAGCCTGCAGCCAACACTGAATCTGGGAACACTTAACATCTTGACTCTCACTTACCAGTTAGCCTGAGGAAGGTAGTGTGAGAACCATCATTACTCAAGAGTCTGCTTTGAGTGTTATACATTTATAATCACATTTAGTCTTCAGGACAATCTCTGA